AAGTTCTACAATAGAAATTTCTACTCTGATGTTGAAAGAATCCAAATATTTGGGTACCAGTGATCATAAAATACTCCATCACAACTCAATAATGGATGTATTCAACTGAAACTCACCTTAAAATTTGCAAATAAATTTATACATCCAACTTTTGAAAAGATTTAACCATTGTCTATGATCAATAATTTTGAAATATACATCTGAATAACTCAGTGACAGTATTTTTAAACTTCCATGGAAACATACACCAGTCATATTTACCTTAAGTTATCTTACCAGAAAGTATTAGAAATAAAAATAAAACAAATGAAATTATTTTTGTAGCTGCTTGATTGAGGTACAATTCATATACTTTAATATTTGCCCATTTTCCGTGTGAAATTCAATGGTTGTTAGTATGTTTACAGACTTGTGCAGCCATCACCAAAATTGTTAGAACATTTTCATCACTTCCTAGAAAACCCCATTCTCTGTCTTTCTCCAACCATCCCATCTACACCCTCCTGCCTACCCCTATATACAACTATTAATCTATTTTCTGTCTCTATAAATTTGCTTTTTCTGAACATTTCATACAAATCAATTATGTAATATGTGATCTTTAATGCCTTATTTTTTTTATTTAGCATTATGTTATCAGACTCACTCACGTTGTAACATGCAACATATTTTCCATCCTTTTAATCATTGAATAATATCATTTTGTATGGATATACCACATTGTCCACTGATACAGGTGTCAGTTCATGGACATTTGTGTTTTCTACCTCTCAGCTACTATGAATAAGGCTGCTATGAATATATGTGTGCAAGTTTTTGCATAGATATCTGTTTTCATCTCTCTTAATCATATACATAATGGTGGAATTTCTGAGTCAAATTTAAATTCTATGTTTAATGTCTTCAGGAAATGCAATGGCTGCACCATTTTATATTCCCACCACTAGTTTATGTGGGTTCTGATTTTTCCATATCCTTGCCAAAACCACTTACTTTTTGATTATAGCCATCCTAGTGGATGTGAAGTGGTATATAATTGTGGTATTATGTGCATTTTCTTAATGACAGATGATACTAAGCCTATTTTAATGGCCTTATCAGCATTTCTATATCTTCTGTGGAGAAATACCAATGCATATCTTTTACCATTTTAAAATTTGGTGTTTTTTTTTTTTTATTAGTGAGTTGTCAAAGTTATTTACAT